AACTCTGAAGCCAGCCGGAACTCCGTTCCTGTGCGTTCCTGCCCCAAAATAGCCCTGATCTTCTCTGCTGGAAACTGGGGGTGGGGAGCAGGGGTCGTTTTGTAGAAAAAGAGCTAGGGGAACTCATTAGCATAACTCATTAGCATATGCCACACCCCCTGACATCACCAGAAGTGTGTCATAAGGCCACACACCCTGCCCCCAACGGTCCCGGCTGCCGCCGCCGGCCTTGCAGCTCCACTGCCGAGCCCCATGAGAGGCCCAGCGGTGGACCTGCAAGGCCGGCGGGAGTGCAAGGAAGCCCCGCGAAGGCCCTCCCTGGCCCCAGGCAGGCAGAGGTGGGGAGAGGCAGGGAGGAAGCAACTTACCCTCCCTCTTCTCCTGCCTCCTCCTGGCTGAATGAGGGCTGGGAGCCGGGCGGCCGGAAGCAGGGGGCGGGCTTCGTCATGTGCCCCGCCCCCGTACCTCACCCTGGGGAACTGCGATCCCCCACGATCCCCCCCCAAATGACCTCTGGTGGGGAGTGACTGTGTACGGCTGGTCTGCTTTGCTTGGTTAGTGCTGCCTCGTAACAGTTCTCACGCAGGGGCCTCCCGAGTGTGCTGTGAACATCTTGGGATCAATGCTCCCTCTAAGCTGTGGAGTCTTATGAGTAAAAAATTCTACTTGGAGAGCTACGGGCATTAAAGTTGCGAGCAAGAGATTTGGCTACTGCGTGAACCCGTTTGCTCTGGAGCCGTCCTTCCCGAGCGAAGACCAAAACGTGTGAGCCGGAGGCTAAAAAACCTGTGAGCTAGCTCACATTAACTCAGCTTAGAGGGAACATTGCTTGGGATGCGTACGGTCTCACCGTCCGGTGTGACCTTGTAGGTTGCGGAGCTTCTAGATAATGTAGCCGTTAGCTTGCAGGTGCTGGGGGCGATTGTAGGGGCAGAAGCAGACATGTGGCGGACTGAATGAGAGCAGTGATTGGTCGTTTGCCATCTGTGGGTTCTCCTGCTTTTATTATATTGGGGGGACGGGCCTCTGGAACCCAGTTCCGACACAGAAGCTGTCCATGCTTGGAACCTCTCTGTCTCCTAATACACAAATCTTGCTGCTACAAGAGGGTTTGTGGGAGTAACTGCGTCCAGGGCTTGACACCTGTACCCACAAAATCTCCAGGGATTTCCCAACTCAGAGTCGGTGCTCAGCCCCTGCCTCGTCTGTGTCCTTGGGTCTCTTTGTCCAACAAGGAGAAGTTTGTACTCTAGCCCATAACCCCACCTGGAATTTTTGAATGATTAGGTAAAGGTAAAGGTTCCCTTGCTCAAAAGCCAGTCGAATCCGACTCTAGGGTTGCGGTGCTCATCTCTGTTTCAAAGCTGAAGAGCCAGCACTGTCCGAAGACGTTTCCGTGGTCATGTGGCCGGCATGACGAAACACCAAGGCGCACGGAACGCTGTTACCTTCCCACCAAAGTGGTACCTATTTATCTACTTGCAATTTCTTGCTTTCGAACTGCTAGGTTGGCAGGCGCTGGAACTAAAGACGGGAGCTCACTCCGTCATGCGGCACACTCGGGTCTCGAACGGCTGAACTACCGACCTTCCACAGCCTGCAGTTTAGCGTCTTAACCACTTGAGCCACCGCAGCTCCATTTTGAATGATTACAATAGCATAATATCCACAGATGGGTAGATCCTACCTGAGCCCAAGGACACGAGTGCTTAACCGTGGGCAATGGTAGCTCTGCCTTTCGGCTCTCTTGAAAAAACTACTGCCTGCCTCCCGCCTGGATGTATTGTACAGAGGTGGCCTCAGATCCTCCCTGGGAGAAAAGCGTCTGCCCCCCTAGAAAAAGTTTGCCTTTACCTCGTCGGTGTCATCTGGGAAGTACACTTTATGGAAAATCTGAGTGGTTTTGTGCTGAATCGCCTCCACTTCCACCAGGTGGGGAGGGTACTTGCGAGAGCCGTTCCTAGAAAGGAAAGGAGCTTGCTGTAATGCTAAAGCATTCACACGCTGGGAGAGTTTCCGCACTGACATGCTATCACGTTTCAGCTTGGCTACCACCAGTGTTACAGGCGGTGTCTGGCAACTGGCAGCAGGGTTGGGATGGCGGGCATCCTGGGAGAAGAATTCAAAAAGCAAAACAAGGCCTTGGCTACTTCCGGGAAGTCCTTATCACAGAGTCCCTGGCAATTCCTAGTGCTACCCAGAAGTGATGTGAGGTAGCTCGAGCCATCACCAGAAATTCTACGGTACTGTGTGCAGTTCTGGTCACCACACCTTAAAAAGGATATTATAGCTTTGGAAAAAGTGCAGAAAAGGGCAACTACAATGATAAAAGGGTTGGGACACTTTTCCTATGAGGAAAGGTTAAGGCGCTTGGGGCTCTTTAGCTTGGAGAAACGACGACTGAGGGGTGACATGATTGAGGTTTACAAGATTATGCATGGGAAAGAGCAGGTAGAGAAAGAGGTACTTTTCTCCCTTTCTCACAATACAAGAACTCGTGGGCACTCCATGAAATTGCTGAGCGGTCGGGTTAGAACGGATAAAAGGAAGTACTTCTTCACCCATAGAGTGATTAACACATGGAATTCACTGCCACAGGAGGTGGCGGCGGCTACAAGCACGGACGGCTTCAAAAGGGAATTAGATAAGCATATGGAGCAGAGGTCCATCAGTGGCTATTAGCCACAAGGTATAGATAGGGGCTCCGGGGCAAGTGATGCTCTGTCTTCTTGGTGCTTTGGGGGGGGGCAACAGTGGGAGGGCTTCTAGAGTCCTGGCCCCACTGGTGGACCTCCTGGTGGCACCTGGTATTTCTGGCCACTGTGTGACACAGAGTGTTGGACTGGATGGGCCTTTGGCCTGATCCAACATTGGCGTCTCTTATGTTCTTAAGAACTTCCAGCTTGACCATAGAGTGTCCGGTGACTGCAAGAGCTACACTTTGCCCCGGTAGCTCTAGGAACGGCCAGGAATTCTATGGTAAAAACTTTCTGTAACTAGACAAGGCCTTGTGTTGCTTTTCAGTTATTCTCCCCAGGATGCTCACCACCACCCCTTTCACTGGGCAGTTTGCCTGCTGACGAAGTGAGCATCGATGGGCAACGGCCACGACAACCTGGAGGTCTCTTGCCATCAGTGGGCAAATTGGAACCACAGCTACTTCATGTGTTTAGACACGCCTGCCTGCCTGCCTCTTTGGCTCTCCCTCGGCAGCAGCGTGGCGGCTGGGCTGGCTGGCGCAGGTGCAGTGAGGTGTTCATCATCTTTCGATTTATTAATCGCTCAATCCTTGCAGAGCTGCTGGCTCTGAGCAATTTACAGTTACTCATGTATTCACAAGGGACTAACAATGATAGGGGTAAGGGAGGACAACATATACCGTATCTTTAAATCGCACACATTTCGCAGCTGACAGGGAGTTTGTCCAGATGTAAGCTTCAGACGTGTTCCAACGTCATTCTCCCTCGGCATGGCTTGATGTCGTCAGCTTTCTCAGTTGCAGCGCAGCACTGCCACCAACTGGCCGGAATGGCCCATTACAAGCCATGGGGTGGGAATGGCCTGCCCTCACGCCTCACTCCGCCTTTGCCAGCCAGCCCAACTGCCATCCTGCCGCCGAGGGAGAGCCAAGAAGGCAGGCAGGTGCGCCTCTTTACTGACGGGGCTCCCAGGAGTCGGGGGGGTCTGGCATCCTCCTGAAGAGGGCTGTGGGTCATCCGTGCGGGCACTGCCCCCCCAAGCCCTCCAGCATGGCTACAGGCCTGTAGTCAGTGCAACTCTTTCCTGGGCTGTGGACCTCTGGCATGCAAAGTGTACATAGCTGGTATGTATTAGGGCTGGAACATTCCAGGACTGGGTACCAGAGACTGGCCGAGCTTGGAACTCCAGAACAATAGCCCACCAGGACTCTGGAGATGACCAATGAGAAACTAATGTTATGTAAATAGCCTACCGCTGGGAGTTGGGTGTGTTTGGGTGTGGCTTTTTGCATGCTATTTAAACAGGGCTGCTGCCCCGAGGTTTCAGTCTTGTCTCTGAAATCGCTGAATGAAGTAGAGCTGTTCACGGCGATGTGCCTCGAACCCAGTTTTTAAAAACAGCTGTGTTCCAACACAGGTACCGACTCGCAGGGCTTTTTTTGTAGAAAAAGCCCAGCAGGAACTCATTAGCATAATAGGCCACACCGAACAGCCAAAACTCATTAGCATATTAGGCCACGCCCTTGACAGCACCCCGTTACCAGAAGTGTGCTCGTCCAGCCACACCCACCTTTTGCTTCATATTCTGTTTACCTTGTTTGTTGTCAAAATCCAGGGCTTTTTTTGTAGCAGGGACTCCTTTGCATGTTAGGCCACACACCCCTGATGTAGCCAGTCCTAATGAGTTTCTGCTTTTGGGTGTGGCCTATTATGCTAATGAGTTCCTACTGGGCATGGCCAACTCAGGAGCCAACTGGAACTCTGTTCCTGTGCGTTCCTGCCCAAAAATAGCTCTGCCGACTCGGTAGGTTACCTCAGGGCCTTCTGCAGCCTCTGCATGCAGTCATTGGCCAGCGGGTGATGCTTCCGAGACTGGATGAAGCGCTGGACGTGGGGCAGGAGGACATTGCTGGGAGGGAAGAGGCCCGTGCACAGCCACAGCAGCTCCCACCCCCTCTCTTCGCTGTACCTTCGAAAAGAAACGGGAGACTCAGTTCCAAGTCCTGCAAAAATAATCAGCTAAGCACTCGTTTACGACGCTGTGTGTGGAAAGTTCCACCGAGACACAGCCGAATTACGGGGACCCAGTAGTGGTTTCAAGGCAAGAGATAAACAGAGATGGTTTGCCATTGCCTGCCTCTGAGTAGCAACGCTGGAATTCCTTGGTGGAGAGCCGGTTTGGTGTAGTGGTTAAGTGCGCGGACTCTAATCTGGGAGAACTGGGTTTGATTCCCCACTCCTCCACTTGCACCTGGCGGGATGACCTTGGGCAAGCCATAGTTCCAGCCAAGGGTCATTTTGTAGGAAAAAAGGTGCGGGGGCTCATTAGCATAGCTCATTTGCATATGCCACACCTCCTGACATCACTGGAAGTGTGTCAGAAGGCAACACCCACCGCTCAGGCTCCACTGGACTGTTTTGGATTGCTAGCTATTGGGGGGGGGGACGTGCAGATCTGTCCCTGCAGAGGAGGGAGAGCTTGTACCTGAATAAAACTTGGTCTTAAAGGTGCCACTGGACTGCTTTGGATTGGGGGGCTGGGGGGGCCTCTGCAGCTTACCTGGCTGCTTCTCGCTCTGACTGAGGGCTGCTGGGAGCAGGGGGCGGGGCGTGTTGCATGTGCCCGCCCCCGGGGCTCTTTACTGCCGGAGCTCCGCTCCCGTGCGCTCCTGCAGGAAATGACCCCTGGCTCTGGCACAGCTGTTCTTGAAAAAGAGCAGTTTCTGTCAAGAGCTCTCTCGGCCCCACCTCCCTCACAGGGTTTCTGTTGTGGGGAGGGGAAGGGAAAGGAGTTTGCAAGCCGCTCTGAGGCTCCTTTGGGGTATGAATCCAATCTCTTCTTCTTCTTCTCCCATCCAATTATTGACGAGCGCTGACCCTGCTTAGCTTCCGAAACCTGGTGCGACTGGGCTAGCCTGGGCCCTCCAGGTCTGGGCAAAAGACGAATGGAGGCAGTTTGCCATTGCCTGCCTCTGCGTAGAGACCCTAGACTTTCTTGGTGGCCTCCCATCCAAATAGTGAGCGGGGCCGACCCTGCTTATCCTCCAAAATCTGACAGTCTTATGCCTTTCGCTTAGTTCATTTATACCCTTCTCTTTCTCCCCAGTGGGGACCCAGGGTGGGCTTACATCATTTCCCTTTCCTCCATTTTATCCTCACAACAACAACCCCATGAGGTAGACTAGACTGAGAGTGTGTGACTGGCCCAAGGTCACCCAGCAAGCTTCCGTGGCAGAGTGGGAATTAATAAAATAAAAAAATAAACCTGTGTCTCCCAGATCCTAGTCTGACGCTTTAACCACTGCACCAGGATGGCTGCCGTTTTGATTAGCTGGTGGATGCCATTTCAAACACACTGGAACTGTGTTCCAAATTGTCTGTGGTACTTTCACATTCCTCCTCTTATACAGGAATAAACAGCTCGAAAGGGGGATTAGGTAGTTTCATGGAGGATAAGTCTACAGTGGCTGCTAGCCATGGCAACTGAGGGGAGCCTCCACTTTTAGAAGCACTAAACCTCTGAATCCAACAGTCAGGAGGCAACTTCAAGGAAAGGCCATGGCCTCTACGCCCTGTTGTTTGTTGGCCCTCCAGAGGAACTGGTTGGCCCCTGTGTGAGACGGGATGCTGGACTAGATGGACCCTCCCTGGTCTGACCCAGCTTGACCCTCAAGAGGACCTGGCTGGCCACTGTGTGAGACAGGAGGCTGGACTAGATGGACCCTCCCTGGTCTGACCCAGCAGGGCTCTTCTGAGGTTCTTATCAGGGGAAGGCCTCGGCCTCTCTGCCCTGTTGTTGGCCCTCCAGAGGAACTGGCTGGCCCGTGTGAGATGGGAGGCTGGACTAGAGGGACCCTCACTGGTCTGACCCAGCAGGGCTCTTCTTACGCCCTTATCAGGGGAAGGCCTCAGCCTCCAGGCCCTGTTGTTGGCCCTTCAGAGGAACTGGTTGGCCCCTGTGTGAGACAGGATGCTGGACTGGATGGACCCTCACTGGTCTAATCCAGCAGGGCTCTTCTGAGGTTCTTATCAGGGGAAGGCCTCGGCCTCTCTGCCCTGTTGTTGGCCCTTCAGAGGAACTGGTTGGCCCCTGTG